AGCAAAAAGAAAACTAAGAATTCCACAATGTTGTTTAACAGTGATCTAGTTAAATACTTTGTTATATGTTCTAAGATTTTTCTTTAATACGGCTTTCTTACATATTACTTTGCACCTACTTTACTCAGTTCATCTGTGAAACATTATCCTAGTCACATTGTTGTCACTGAATGCGGGGGGCGCGGGCGGGACGGCCCTCCCCCGCTGCAACTTACGGGGCGCGCGGGGACCTCTAGGAAAGGATCCCGGCGGGCTTTGGCTGGGGTGGGGTCTTCGTTCCGGCGCGACCCTCACGGGAAAGGCAGCCAAGAGTGGAGGAGCACGCGGTGCCGGGGTGAAGCCAGGGAGGCAACGGCCTCTGCCCCGGGTGGGGAGATCAGTCCGTGAGGCTGGAGAGCTGTGGACACGGAGCAGAGCCAGGGGGCCCGTGGAGGGGCCTGGGGCCACCACTCTACAGCAGTAGCCCCCAGCCCTTGGGCTGTCCCCACGAAGAGTCTTCTTTCCTGTACCTTTGGCCTCAGAGTCAGGGAGGAACCCTGGGTGGACAGCTGGTGCCTCCAAGGATACCACTTGGGTGGGTCCCTTGGGAACCGCTGCCAGCTGCCAGACCCCTCCAGAAGAGGCCCTCCTGCTTTCCCTGCCCACCCTCTTCCTCAGCCCCACCGGCTTCTTTTTAGCTCCTTTGAGCAGTGGTGGACCCAACTGGGAAGATGGGGGGGGCGTCTCCAGTCTGGCACTGGAATGCCACAGTCTGCTGGTGATAATTGCTCATGAACCTTTCCCAACTGCCAGTCCTCCTGGCTGACAAGGAGGGTGGGCCAGCACCACTGGATGAGGCCCTGGATGAGGCTGTGCCTGAGTACCAGGCACCAGGGAAGAAGAGCATGCTGGAGATTCAGCGGCTGAACCCAGAGGATGAAAGCCTGGCCAAGTACAAGCAGGCGCTGCTGGGGCCCCTGCCACCTCTTGTGGGTATGGGCTGGGCCTGGGTCTGGGCCTAGAGGGCGGTGAGCAGGTGGAGGGAAGGGGGCAGGCTGGGCAGACCAGGCAGGGCTTCCTGTGGGCACTGTTTCTCCTCAGACCCAAGCCTGCCCAACGTACAGGTGACCAGGCTGACACTGCTGTCCGAGCAAGCTCCCGGGCCCATCGCCATGGACCTCACAGGTAGCTCTCTGCAGCCCTCAGCCCATCTTTGGAGTGGAGACTTCTTAGGACCCCTCTGCCCGTGGACCTCAGAGGCACCACTCCCCATGTGGGGGCTGCTGGGCAGGTTCTCGGTCCCTCTGGAGTTCAGACTGTACCTGCTGTTTCCCTACCAGGGGATCTGGCTGCTCTGAAAAGCCAGGTGTTTATCCTGAAGGAGGGTGTCGACTACCAAGTGAAAGTTACCTTCAAGGTGAGGACAGCTACGGTGGTGGCGGTGGTAGGGTGGCAGCCAGCCACAGCCTACCCCCCCCAGAGGAGCCCCTTGACACCCTCCGTTCCCCAGGTCAACAAGGAGATTGTCAGTGGTCTCAAGTGTCTGCACCACACCTACCGCCGGGGCTTGCGTGGTGAGGGCAGTGTGGGGGCAGCCTGGGGACTGGGGATGGCAGGGAGGGGGCAGCCCTGACACCCTCCCCTCCCCCAGTGGACAAGGCCGTCTACATGGTGGGCAGTTATGGCCCCAGAGCCCAGGAGTACGAGTTTGTGACGCCGGTGGAGGAGGCACCGAGGGGCATGCTGGTGCGGGGCCCCTATGTCGTCAGGTCCCTCTTCACCGATGACGACAGAACCAGCCACCTATCCTGGGAGTGGGGCCTCCACATCTGCCAGGACTGGAAGGACTGACCCCCGACTGGGGCTCCTGTCCCCACCTGTCAGCTGCTGCACGGGGTCCCCACGCCTTCCCCAGCCCCTTGGTCAGTGACCCCCCAAGTGCCCCCATCTGGTTCTGTGCTCTGACTCCCATTAAAGGTCGCCCTGCCTTGCTGCCCTCCGTGTTGCCTTTTTCTGCCTCTTCTTCCCTCCAGGGTGTGCCTTTCAGCTTTTTCTTCCCTGAGAGGCGCCAGGATGCCACGTGGCGGTTACTGCTTGGTCCCTGGTCCCTTTATCTGCCCTAGCCTTTGGGGCCCCAGCACCACCATGAACAGCCAGCTCCTGACCGTGCTGCTGCTGTTCCTGCTGGGGGTCTCAGGCCCATGGGGACAGGGACAAGATCCACATGGTCCCTTGGAGGACCTCCCAGAGGAACCCCCTGTGGAGAAAGTTCCCAAAGAGGATGGGGTTTTGGTGCTGAATGGCAGCACCCTGAGCTGGGCACTGCAGGAACACTCGGCCCTGCTGGTGGAGTTCTGTGAGTGTCGGGGCATGGGCGGTGGGACCACAGGGACCTCAGGCTTGAGCCCCGCACCTACTCTCCATCCTGCACCTGGGCTCTCCACAAGGGCCCTGGGACAAGAAGCCTTGGGCAGAGCTGGACCTGGGGGGCCAAGTCGAAGCAGGGGAGACAGTCATGGTAGGGTGTCCCAGGGGACAAGAAGACCACTGTCTCCCCTTGCTTGGTCAGCTGTGTCTGCACGCTGATGTCATCATTTGGGGGCCCACGTTTCCATGCTGCTGCTGGTGTGGACTTGCTGCGTGCGCACGGTGCAAAGGCACAGCTTCCGGGCTGTGTGGCCATGTAGGTTCTTGGGGTGACTTCTCATTTTTGTTTTGTTTTTTCACTGCTGGAAATTGAACTCGGGACCTTCACCCTGAGATGTTTCTAGCCCTTTTTTATTTTGAGACTTAAAGTGGCTAAATGGCCCAGGCTGGGCTCTTACTTGCAGTCCTTTTGCATCAGCCTCTCAGAGTGCTGGGATTACAGGTGTGCGTCACCACACCTGGCTCTCTGGCACTTGTTTTTTGTTTTTGTTTCTTTCTGGCACTTGTTTATATAATAATTTATAAATGTCAAAGCTGTTCTTGGCTGGCAGGCCTTACAGGTAGCCATATGTGGCCCAGAAGGACTGGATAGGAGGCTCCTCAGACTCCCAAACCTTCTGTCCCTTGTGTTATGAGTCAGGGCATTGAGAGTCTCCTCTGGTGCCCCAGCAAAGACCCAGGGTGGCCCCTAAAGGAGGATGTGAGCAGGACGTGCTTGCTCTTTCCTTGGCCTGTGGTTGGGGCCCTTGAGGCCTGGCATACTCATCGCCTCATCCTCCAGATGCCCCGTGGTGTGGGCACTGCCAGGCACTGGCTCCTGAGTACAGCAAAGCAGCCATTCTGCTGGAAGACGAGTCTGTCCCGGTTACACTGGCTAAGGTGGACGGGCCTGCAGAGCCGGATCTGATGGAGAAGTTTGGTGTGACAGAGTACCCCACGATCAAGTTCTTCCAAGATGGGAACCACACACACCCAGAGGAGTACACGGGTGGGCGGGCTCGATGTAGCCTGGGCCCTGGGGTGGGGCGTGGTGGAGAGGGATTGGGCCTAGGCTAAGGGGACTCTCCGCAGGACCCCGGGAAGCTGAGGGCATTGCTGAGTGGCTGAGGCGGCGGGTGGGGTCCAGTGCCGCACACCTCGAGGATGAGGAGAGCCTCCAGGCACTGCTGGACGCCCAGGATGTGGTGGTCGTCGGATTCTTCCAGGTAAGCTGGCGGGTGGGGGCTGGGCCTCGGAGCAGTACTGGGGGTACCCACCTACCTCATAGGACTGGGCCCACAGGACCTTCAGGGTGAGGACGTGGCTACCTTCCTGGCCCTGGCCCGGGATGCCTTGGACATGACCTTTGGCCTCACTGACCAACCGCAGCTCTTTAAGAAGTTTGGCCTCACCAAGGACACAGTGATCCTCTTCAAAAAGGTGGGTCAAACTGAGGTGGGGGCTGGGTTCGTGGCCGTGGCTCTTGCTGACCCTCCCACAATCCAGTTTGATGAAGGACAGGCTGACTTCCCAGTGGATGAGGAGACGGGCCTGGACCTGGGCAATCTGTCCCGCTTCCTGGTCACCCACAGCATGCACCTGGTCACAGAGTTCAACCAACAGGTAGGCTTAGCTGCAGATACGGCTGGGGCCGGTGGGAAGGGTCCGTGGGAGTGCTGCAGAGGGTGGGTAGGGCTTGGCAGTCACAAGCCCCCACCCTGCAGACATCCCGGAAGATCTACGCTGCCCGAATCCTCAACCACCTGCTGCTGTTTGTGAACCAGACGCTGGCCCCACACCAGGAGCTGCTAGCTAGCTTCAGGGAGGCGGCTCCCCCTTTCCGGGGGCAGGTACTGGGAGATCAGCAGGGAGGGGCCGCTGGGCCTGCGGGCACACAGCATGGCCTCCCTGCTGGCAGGTTCTGTTTGTGGTGGTAGATGTAGCTGCCAACAACGACGATGTGCTGCAGTACTTTGGTCTCAAGGCCGAGGAGGCCCCCACCATGCGCTTGATCAACATTGAGACCACCAGGAAGTATGCACCCGTAGATGGGGGGCCCATCACTTCGGCTTCTGTGGCTTCCTTCTGCCACTCCGTCTTCAGTGGTGAAGCGAAGGTCTGCTGCTTGGTGGTCCACCCAGGGGCAGGGGAGAGAGGGGCGTAGCGCCCCAGGAGCCCCTGGTGAAGCCCTGCTTCCCCCAGCCCTACCTGCTGAGCCAGGAGATTCCCCCTGGCTGGGACCAGCGGCCTGTTAAGATTCTTGTGGGCAAGAATTTTGAGCAGGTGGCTTTTGATGAAACCAAGAACGTGTTTGTGAAGTTCTGTGAGTGCCAAGGGCAGAGGGCAGCGGGTGGGGTGGGGAGGTGGCTGGCCAAGCCTGACACACCCCTAGATGCCCCATGGTGCAGCCACTGCAAGGAGATGGCCCCAGCCTGGGAGGCGCTGGCTGAGAAGTACAGAGACCACGAGGACATCGTCATTGCTGAGCTGGACGCCACAGCCAACGAGCTGGAGGCCTTTGCAGTGCACAGCTTTCCCACTCTCAAGTTCTTCCCGGCAGGGCCAGGTCGGAAGGTGAGGCCCACCCAGGCGCCCTCCTGGGGACTCTGGTCAGGCTCTGGCCTGGGGATTGCTGAGCCTTCGGGGCCCTCCTGTCCCACCTCAGGTGACTGAATACAAAAGTGCCAGGGATCTAGAGACTTTCTCCAAATTTCTGGACTCTGGGGGCGAGTTGCCTGTGGAAGAGCCCACGGAGAAGCCTGAGACTCCTTTCCTGGTGAGTACCCAGGACAGATCCTCATGCAGAACGAGCTGGGACAGAGCCCTGAGCTGAGCCTCTGACCTTCCTAGGAGCCACCAGCCAATTCCACCCTGGGTCCCAAGGAGGAGCTATAGCTGCCCTGGAGCGTCTCCCCAGAGTATCTCGGGGCACTAGAGGGAGCTGTGTGCTGTGAATAAAGAAAAGTTGGTCCTAAACTCTGTGTGGTTCCTGAGCAAGACTGGACCCTGGCCCTGTCTCAGCCACCTGGGGCTGTTCTCTCTTGGGTGCCTTTTCCACCAGCTGAGCTACTGGCTCGTCTGAGTGGCACCCAGGTGGGCAGGAAGGCCTCGGAAGCGCAACTGTAGCTGCCCCCGCACGTTGGCCGTTGCCCACAGATGCCTCCCCCAAGTGTGATCTCCTGGCACACACGGTCAGGCCCCACTGGCTGCAAGACAGGTGCGTTCCATAGCCTAGGCAAGTTCAAAAACTTTTATTTCTTGTTATCCAAGTACCTTTGAAAAGATAATTGTACAAGTCATGGCATGAAAAATGGTCTTTGGGCAGCCCCCTGCTGGCCCTGACCTGAGAAATGTACATATTTACATGGGCCCTTAGAAAGCAGGGACCTGGCCTGTTGAGCTGGCGGCTGGAGGCAGGTGAAGGAGGGGCCGAGGCTTCAGAGCCACCGGCTTCACATAGTGGCAGGCAAGAGACAGCTGTGTTGAAGGCACTCGGTGACATGTACAATTTAGAGGTCCCTGCCGGGCCCCCGTACCTGGGCCTAAGTACCACGGCGTGTGAATCCCACAGCAGGGGCTGCAGGCAGGCTGCCGTGCTCAAGGACTCCACGTATTGCTATAGGGTGGGTGGGGCAGACACAGGCAGAGAGGGGCACACCTGGACCTTCCCAGGGTCCACGTGACCACGCACAGTGGGAGCATCTGTGTCACTCCCACACAAGCTCCTGGGTGCATGGTCATTGCTGGGCTGACACGTCCATGCACTGAAACCTGTGTCCTGGGTGCGGCCACCTGCCGGTCAGTCCACTTTCTCCACCTTGCCGATGATCTTCTCCTCAAAAACGGGCAGCACAGCCTCATCTTCTCTCACCTCCTCAAACACCACGCCACAGTCAAATTCGTCACTCACTTTCTTGAAGTAGTATCTGGGGACAGAGGACAGCCACAGAGGGTCAGGAAGTGAGGACAGGCAGCCCGTTCCCGTGCTCAGGGAGGGACACCTGTTTATGCCTGGGGCCACTGCTCGATGTGTGCATGCTTTTCCCAGGGACAGGACCTCAGCCTCACCTAGTGCCTGCTTGCCGGACCCACCTCTCCCTGGGAAGTGCCTCAAAACCCCTGGGAGGGGCACGGTGGTGCACCCCCGTAATCCCAGCAATCAGGAGGGAGGCTGATGCAGGGGGATCACTGTGCGTTAAGGCCAGCCTGGGCTACACAGCAAGACCCCGTCACAAAAAACCCTGGGAGTCCTGCCCTGGGTTCTAGGGTGCTGCAGGGGAGGAATGTGGCTACATGGATGTCCCCGCTCAGCCAGTGCAGTCACAGGGCACTGTCACGGCCACTCACTGGGCAGAGGACCTATTCGCCACGGGCTGGCCCATGTTCAGGCCATCTGCCTCTGCCTCTCCTCATAGCTCCATCCACAGTGAGGAAGCCTGGGCGCTGGTTGTCAGTTGAGGCCAGCGTGCACGTGGACCCACCTGTTCAGGCCTCAGTTTCACAAGTTTTAGACTGGGGGCCCTGACACCACCCACCACTCCCCACCATGGAGAAGTGTCCAGTCCACATAAGAACTAACCGGGCAAGAAATGGTCCTGTCGCATGGCCAGCCAGGTACCTCCCAGCCCCTTCTCACCTGTAGCTGCCTTTCTTGGTCAGCAGCTCCTTGAATTGGCCCAGGGTGACTGCACGGCCTCTCACCAGGGTCCGGTAGGGGATGGGCTCCCCACAGAAGTAGTAGGCCACTACGATGCTGTCACACGGCTGGGCACTGCCACCACCTATCTTCTTCTGTGATTTTATCCTGTTCAGAGAGAGCAGTGATGGGGTGGGGGTCAGGCCCAGATCTCAGGGGTGCCCCCCGGGATTCAGGGTGATGCTTGTTATGGTGAGACCAGAGACCCCGCCGAGCATGGTGACACACGCCTATAATCCCAGCACTTGCGAGACTGAAGCAGTATTACCACAAGTTCAAGGCCAGCCTGGGCTACAGAGTGAATTCAAGGATACATGAACTACATACATAGAGACCTTGTCTCAAAAAGAAGACGACAAAGACCAGAGGTCCACAGCCCCCACTCTGCCAGCTCTGTGCCACATGGCTGGCTGACTCCCTGGGGGACACACCTCAGGAGCCCCAGGGCTGGCTGGTCGGTGGCACCCCCACCTGGTTATGTGAAGTGGGCATACAGCTTCTCAAGACCGTCAGGCCAAGCTGCTGGCCACGCAGCCCAACAGAGGCAAGGCGGTCCACCTGCCCAAACTCTAGACTGCGATGTAAACCTTTAAAGACGTGAAAGGCAGACACCAGAGAACTCAGGTCTCTGAGTGAACTGCTCACAGGCCACAGCCAGCCAGACCTGCAGAGCTGAGTGAGGCTGGTGCTGTCTCACTGCCAGGCTGAGGGGCCCTGTCCTGATGGGCTGTGTGGCCTCAATGTCAGGTGACTGGCAGTGTCCTCCTGCACTCCACGTCCTCCAGCCACCCCAGGAATCAGCCCCAGGGCAGGAAGACTGCACAGGGGTCCTCTCCCACGGCCCAGGCCCAGAGAGCCACCAGCAGTGTCTGTCCACTTTGCACAGCTGGCTCCCAGGCACCTGCTTCCTCACTTTCCCCCAGCTCTGTGTCCTCAGTGCCCTTCCCTGGGGACCTTCTTCTGCAGGGAGCTGGGCACCAACAGAGAAGTGCCCAGTGCCGAAGCACAGGAAGTGGGCAGTCAGCAGTGTCCACACGACCCACGTGTGGCCGTGGCAGGTGGAAGGGTAGCCTCACTCTTGCCCCTCAGCAGTCAAAACATCCAGACACCATGGCAAGTGAGCTGAGCCTAAAGCTCCCTGATGCCGCTGCAAGGACACCGCGGCTGCAGCCCATACCTCATTCAGGACCGGCATGGGCCTGTGATCCTAGACTGGTGACCTCAGGAGGCCAGAGACAGTTGAGGGCAGGCTGTGGTCCCTATGTGGACCCTCGCCCTCTATCACCACACTAGACAGCCCTTGTTCCTTGTGGAGACAGGAGGAAAGACTCGGGTGTCCAAGCTTATGTTTCCGAAGAGTTTGTTCCACCTCAGAACCTGTTTTGGGCCAGGCTGGGCGGGCAGCACTGAGGGACCCTCAGGTGCACGTACTCTGTCTCGGAGAGCTCCAAGTCCGACACGGCTGGCACCACGCTCAGCACTGGCGTGCACGCTGGCCTGACACAGGCACGTCCCCGCTGCATGACCGCCTGCACGTACCTAGGGGACAACCCGCGTCAATGGGGAGAGGCCACAGCCAGTGCACTGCAGGGTCACCTGCCGAACGCTCCCCTATGAGGTGGATAAGACACCAAACCCCTGCTGGGTCTTGGCTGGGGTGACTCCATTCGGTTCGGGGTGCCCACACTTGTTACATGGGTTCCTTGGAACACACTTTGAGGAACTGGTGATCTAGGTGCTAGAAGCTGCCACCTCTAGAAGCTGGGTGACCCCTCCGCCTTGCAGAGGGCCTCTTGGAGACCACGTCTGCACCCCTCACTAAGGTGTGGTGCATCCTATTCAGCTCTCAGGCATGAACTTGCTGAGGTCGTGACGCGGCTCTGGACAGAGTGGTGAAAGCTCCCTCTGTATCCCTGGAACCCCACGCCACAATGAGGCCTATCCTGAGGTGCTGCACAGCAGTGCCTTTCCACTGAGACCCCATCTCAGGGCACACCACTGGGGATCCAGCAGCCTGCCTGCCTGCCTGCCTGCCTGTCTGGAGACCTTTGCCCCACGGATCTGCAGCTACTGACGAAAAGCCCCAGTTCCTCAGATGGGTGCGGAGCCCAGGTTCTCCACACGGACGTGCTGGAGCCACCGGCTGAGACCTCAGCAGAGAACAGTACCCTGCCTGGAAGACCCAGTGCAGAGCAGGTTTCATGACTCGGCACAGAACGCGACAGCACCTGCCGCAGGGCACCCCGTCCCACCACTCTGGGCCACACCCTCTCCCCAGTCCCATATCGAGGCCTCACTCCAGTGCTCTGAACCCCACTCGATCACAGGCTCTGCCAAACATGTGCAGCTTCTTGGTGGTTTCTTACCTAGGACAGGCAGAACAAGAGCACGGGTGGGAGACAGCAGGTGGCAAAGGAGTCATCCCTTAGATTCCAGTTCACTATAACCCTTTCTGGCCCCAGACCCTATGCAGATTGAGCCTGGAGTGGTTCATAACCTTCACCAGTGGGGGACACGCGCAGACCTCTGTGGAGCACAGTAGGTCTCACACGCTGACACCCGCACAGCTGACCAGGACCACATAGCCTGGGAGACCCTGAGAAGTGGGTCAGATTCCAGACCTCAGATGATCCGAAATGGCTGAAAGCAGCCAGCAACTTCCAAGGGAACCTGGATCCATGTGACCACACTCCCAGGGCCTGAGTTCAGATTCCAATGAGCCAGAAAGTCCAGGAGACTGACCTCAAAGCTCAGACAATAGGGTAAGAAGTGGGCCAAGGATTTAGCTCAGTGATTCCACCACCTGCCTCACAAAGTCCCAAGTTTGATCCCCGGTACAAAAAAACAAAACAAAACAGTAAGAAGCCACATTCTGGTCCAGACAGAAAATGCTGCCACCCGGACAAGGTCTGCCAGTGGCCCAGGAAGCACACGTTCCTTCCTCTTGGGGACAACATGGTTTGGTCTGAGCTGTGGCAGCAGTGTGTCAGGCCGAGGCCCTGAAGGCCAAAGGTGGCAGAGAACAAAGGGCTGGGGCTTGTGATCTGTCCAAGTAAGTTTTACACCCCATGCATTTCAGACACTTTAGGACGGCCACCAAGCCCCGCATGCCCAGAAGCTGCCGATCACTTGACTTTAACTGTCTGTCCTCACCACCCTGGGGATCCTGCAACCTCCAGGACCCAGACAGGAGATGGAAGAACAGCCCCCTCCTCCCGCAAGGACAATGAGAACGTTCACCATCCCAGCTCTCGGCCCCAGGAAGGGGCTGTTTCAATGGCTCTCAGCCGCGTTCCCAAGGGCCCTCTGTGTGGGCCTGCAGTCACCTCACACCTACACTCCCTACCTCTGCTTGGAAGACAGCTTGCTGGCTCGCTTCTCCTCCTCCTCCAGACGCCTGCGGGCTTCCTCCAGCTGAGTCAGGGGGTTGGGGGCTGGATTGGGTGGCATTGTGGGGTCTTGAATGAAGAGATGAGAGGGCTGGACAGAATTGCGAAGCTGAGCACTGACCCAGGGGTGCACGGCTCCAGGGCGCTCGATGGACAAGAGCCGGGAGTTCTCGTGGGCCTGCTGCTTCCTCGCCCCAGACGACCTTAGGGAACAAGAGAAAGTGTGGCAGCATCTACCTCCTGAGATAAACATGACCACTTCCTGCAGACCTCTCAGCAGCTTTATTGAGATAAAAATTACATACAGACTTTCTCTAAAGATACCATTTTTACTGCTATAAAATTTTGTTTTAGGGTAGGGTATATTCCAGGGATAGAACACTTGCCTAGCATGCATGAGCCCTGAGTTCAATCTCCAGTACCACAAGAAATTATTATTAACAAAAATGTTCATGGTGGAAAACCCAGCATAGACAGGACATTTAAAGAAAAAATATAAATAATCCACAATATCTAATTTAGAAATAACTACTCTTACTAAGCGGTATATTTTCTTACCAGTTAAAAATACTTACCTGGCCTAATTCTAATCAAGCAATTTCCCCCCTGACATTATCATCAGTGTCTCCCTCATCACTGACCCCTGGGGAACATGTCCTCCATCAGGGGAGACCCAGCAGAGATGTGGGCCTCCTGGCCAGGGTGAAGACTCAGCCCCTAAGGCAGGTGCAGCCCAGGACACACAGCACCGAGAGAAGCGACTGGGGCAAGCACTCCCCAGACACCTGAGCCAGACACCTCCCCCACCACCGTGAGCTGGACAGGGGTCGGAATTGGCCTGCTCGGCAGGCAGTGCCCAGTATGGGCTGGCTGTGTGCTCGCTCTTCAGTACAGAAACTGCCATTCAGGGGGAGTCGTGGAGATACAGCCCGCTCTTTGTGAAAATTCACAAAAGAGAGAAATCCAGAAGGACTACGAGCTACTCCTCACCCAAATGGAGTTGGGACAGGATTCCCTGAGATCCCACAGGACAGGATGGTGGCTGTCAAGAAACACAGGCAGACACAGTGGGGCAATTCTCCACAGGACATCGGAGACAGACGTGGACAGCCCGGGTGGGGTGAGGGTACCTCCTGGGTGGCCCTAGGATTGAGTACAGGCACACGAGGTGACACCCACAGACAAGACCCACCCTGTATGGGGCTGGCCCCAAGGCTGCGAGAGCAGGGGTGAGGGCTGAGCCTTTTCTCTTCTTAACTTCCCACGTGACATGTCTCAGAATATCCCTTAATGCCCGTCGTCCCACTCTTGAGCATGACTTGTGCCCAGCAGGCTCCACATGGGAAGGTGCTGCTCACCCATGGCCAGCCTTCCTGTGCCTGCTGATCTCTTTCTCCCCCTCAATGATCCACTGCATAATCTTCTGGTTCTTCTCTGCATCCTCTGTGGCGCCCGGCACCTCCGTGTTAGCGTTCTTCCCAGAGTCGGCCTTCTTGGCATTTCTTTTGGAGGGCACACTTGCCTTCCCACTGCAAGAGCGAGACCTGTGTTTACCCTGGCCTCCCACAGTCCCCTCACCCCAGCTCCTCACACCGGATGGAAGGCCACTGTGAGGCCACATTCGCTGCCACCTATGCAGCGGTCTGGGGCCTGCTCTGTCGGTGATGTCCTGGGAGATGCGAGCTATGCTCATTGCCGCCTACCATGCCCTTCTACCTCACAACCTAGATACCACTACCTCCCACACTCATTCCTTGTGGCTGTTACAAGGGAAGCTCCAGCCTCATGGGGACACACCTTAAACCCCAGCTCTCTTCTGGGCCCTCAGGACCATGGCACAAGGAAGACATCACTGTTCCCACCACCGGGGTATGAGGCAGGGCTGGTGCAGGACTCACCTGTAGGATGGATCACTGGCACTGGGGATGGCACCTGTGTTTTCCGAATAGCCACGGGGCTTGGCTGGGTGGCTGTGTGATTCTAGGCCCCACATGCTCTGGACCCTGCGGGTGGCCTCAGCCTCAAGCTGCTCCTTGGGCCTGGCTGCGCTGTGGTGAACATGGTGGTGAATGTGCCTGTGATGGTGTAGGCCAGTGGCATCCAGCTTTGCCCCTGACTTGGGCACGTGCTTCCCATGCCCCAAGGCTGCACCGCCCAGCATAGCGATCTTGGCCACATGCCCGCTGTCGGGGGAGCGGTGGCCTGGACCAGGGGACTGGCAGCCCGGTGTCCTCATGACCCGCTGCACATGTTCGTCCAGGATGCTCTCGGGGTTCTCCTCGTGGGCGTCGCGTAGCCCAGTGCATCCCAGGTCCACACAGCGAGGTGGGAAGTGGTGCCAGGCTGGGGCGGAAGGCAGCTTGTGACTCACTCCTGGGGCCCCAGAGGGCAGTTCGCCATCCTCGCCTTCCTCCTCCTGCAGGGACAGGGCAGCATCAGCACCAGCTGCACTGTAGAAACCTCACATGTGGGGGAAACAGGCAAGGGAGAAGCCTCGGTGGCAGTCGGCCACGTCCTGGAGGTCAGGCCCCAGCGTGTGGCCAGGCCAGGGACAGCCATCTGACTGGGCACTACACGCCCAACCTCCAAGGGCTATGGAAACCCACTCTATCTGCCACCTCATTTCTGCCAGGCTTGGTTGCGGGCCTAGGGCAGTGGGCAGGACAAGCAGAGACACCAAGGAGTTGAAGACACTGAAAGAACTCTGCCCGAGTTTAGTTTTCTTTTTATATTTCTCATAAGGTGTTTTCTTTCAATTGTGTTTCCCTCTCACATCATTTTATTACCATATATAATTTCTACAATACCTATTTCAAAATGAACAGTGCTCCTGTATGTCAAGCTCTTTTTACTTGTCTTGCATGTCTTGATAAACTCTCACATTAAGTTAGCAGAATTTCATTTTATTATCCAAGAGTCAGAAGAAACTGAACTATGTATGATGCCTACTACACTTATCACTTTAATTCTAAAAGTCATACCTCAAATTTATTTTCTTGTTGAACTAATTGTAACCAAAAGTTGGGTGTGGGGGATAAAGTATATCCATCTCCCTACACACACACACTTTTTTTTTGAGACATGGTCTCAACTATGTAGTTCAGGTTGGCCTTGAATTTACTATGTAGCCCAGACCGGCCCAAAACTCATGACAATCCTGCCTCAGCCTCTCGAGTGCTAGGATTATAGGCGTGGGCCACCATGCCCAGTTTAACCTGTTTTATTTTTATTTATTTTTATTTTGGGAGGTATTTTGAGACAGGGTCTCACTATGTAGCTCAGACTGCTCTGGAACTCACTGTGTAGCCCAGGCTGGTCTCGAACTTGCAGTGATCCTCCTGCCTTAGCCTCCTGGGTGCTGGGATTACAGGTGTGCGCCACCACACCCAGCTTAACCTATTTTAATATAAACAAATTTCAAAAAAATCGGAAACCAAATTCTTTACAAATATAAAACATCTCAATGCAATCAAGACTGGTGCACACTGCTGCTAGGTGATATGGGCTGATGGCTCCTCAGCTGATGCTCGGGGCAGATAGGACAGAGTCGAGGGTACAGTCAGAGAGCTTGGACACACTGCCTATCTGTGAACCCTGAGGACTCTAAGGACAGTTCTTAGCTCAGGGTCTTTGTGTGGACTGAAAATGCTTACAGATTTGAGGTCACTATCTCTAAGGCACAATAAGGAAGGGAGACCTCCAAATCCACGGGAAACCTTGGGCCAAGGTACAGGTTTTTTTGTTTGTTTTATTTTTGGGAAGCAGGAGGAGGAACCATTGAGCTAAATCCCCGGCACGTTTGTTTTGTTTCTGGTGCTGGGGATCGAACTCAGGACCTTGGGCTTGCCAGACAGGCGGTGTGCCACTGAGCTGAATCCCCGGCCCCAAGATACAGTTTTGTTTTGTTTTTGTACCAGGGATTGAACTCGGGACCTTGCACTTGCGAGGCGGTGATGCGATGGAACCACTGAGCTGAATCCCCAGCCCATCCAAGGTAGTTTTTAGTACTAGTTCCTCACAGACAGAAATTCAACTGTACGGTTATTTATATTTGATAAAGGGGATCATTCCAGAGCTTCAAGCTCTAAGGAAGTGCTTTACAACCAAGCACCCTAGCCTCAGTTGTAGGGTTTAAAAACATAATAGATTAACTTAATTGTTCTTCTAATGGTTTTTGCTGTAATCTTGGTGTTATTTCCCAAATCTTACAATGACAATCTCTTAAAAATAATCCCACTGTCAGGGGAGTGGTGGCCTGGCCATTCCATTTATTTATTTAAGGACCTCGCGCTTTCCAGGCAGGTGGTGCACTACAGAGCTAAATCCCCGGCCCCTTTTAAAAGTGCTATTATCTATCTGCTGTGCAATGCCTATCAACCACAGAATCATACCCTGTTACAGATTTGTGATCACACTGCCAAATACTTGACAGTGTATCCCAGCCCAGGCAGCAGAATTAGGCGAGGGCACATGGCAGTCCGCCTGAGCTGGAGGCCATCTGCCCATAGATTATTTCCTGAGTTGACATGATAGAAATGCATGGGGCATTCATGCTAACATTACCTGTTAAGTCGGAGAACAATCTCTGCTCTATTACTATAGTTGGCCCGGCCCCTCCCTCTTGAGAGTCTCTGGGCACACTGCCACGCCCCTGCTGTCCTAGGGACAGAGTGTTGCTAGGGATAGAGCCACCCCACCTGGGCACAGATGGGGATTCCACTTAGTTGAGGGAGCTTTAGCACTCAGCTATCGGAAAAGCATACTGAGCCAGGCGAGATGGCACACACGTGTAATTCCAGCACTTGGAAGGCTGAGGCAGGAAGATCACACATTTGAAGCCAGCCTGGGCTACAAGGCAAGACCCAGTCTTAAAAAAACCAAACCAAACCAACCCAGAAAAGCATGCTGAAATTCTATTCATCAATGACTTTATAATATCTCTATAAGCCAGGCACAGTGGTACACACCTATAATCCCATCAGTGGGGAAGCTGAGGCACAAGGATTGCTATAAATTTGAGGCCAAATTGTACTATACTGTGAGTTCAAGACCAGCCTGAAGCACATAAAGAGACCTTATCTCAAAGATAAAACAAAACAAGCAAACAAAAAAGCCTTTCTAAAACATTACATTGGCCGCACCATAAGCAGGTAGAGCAACAGACAGATGAGTCACTCAGCAGGCCACACACAGTAGCCCAGCCTCACACCCGGTATGGTTGAGCTCTTCCTCCTCCAAATTCCTTTCTTTCTGTTCCCCAAAATTTATTTCATGAGTGCGTTTACATTCCAAATCAACTCAGGACCACCCTCAGGGAAGAGAGATGATATCTGTGAAAAGGTCTCCTACACAAACCAAGGTGGTAACCTGGTGACAACACTAGGGCTTAGCACCTGCCAAAATTTATGTGTTTTGTGGCAACACTGCTCCCAAAACTTTGGTTTTTGGATAAGACTGCTAGAATGCAGAAACTATGCACCTCCGTTTCCTAGTGTCCACAAGGAGGGCTGGCCTCAGCGTGCACACAGCCGGTGTCCTTGCTGCCCACCAAACATTACTTCTAGGGCCACATCCCCAGGAGCAACAAGGGAGTTCTTCCTCTGGACAGCAGGCCCATAGGAAAGTCTTTATTTTTGTCTATCGGAACCATGCAGTGGGTGATGCTCCTTTCACATAGAGGCTGGTAGGAATGGTGGCTCTGGCAAGTGGCCTCAGGTAGGTTCCTGAACTGGGAGCCAAGGAACCGTAAAGAGGGTGAGCTAGCCAGCTCCGGCCTATCTGTGCTCCCCTGCAGAAAGGTCACCTGAAGGCCCAGAGCATTCCAGTTGCCAGAAGGGAGAGAAGACAGGAGAGGACAAGATCCTGCTCGCCTCAGTGGTAAAACAATGTACCAGGGACATGGGTATACGAGTGCGCACATATGCGTAACAATATATACGTGCAAACCCTTTCTTTGAGAGCTCCATTGCCGGGCTATTTATTTCACCCTCTGGTCTGTGGTGCTCACACCAGGTCCCATGATGAATTAAAGCTTCTAGTGGGCTGTGTGATCTGCTGCTACCTTAACAGGGAGCTGGCCCTACTATTTCCAGGTGGTACCACAGGAGTGTCTCTGACGGACACGCACACCCGAAGAACACCTGAGAGAGAAGGCAGGCACTACCGAGTCTCAGAAGCCTAGGGAGTTGGGCTCTGCATGTTAAAAGAACACAGTTGAGTGGGTAAACATAGAATTCCTTAGAGAAACATCACAATTTGAACTTAAAAGTACGGAAACTCATAAAAATGTTTGCCTGTTTTTGCAATACAGGGCCTTTGTGTGTCTAGCCCTTATTAAAAATTTACTTTTGTTTTTATTTTTTACTTTTGATAGAGGATCTTGTTAAGTTACTAAGTGGTCCAGGCCGGGCTCAAACATGGGAACCTCTGGTCTCAGCCTCCGAAACTGCTAGGATTATAGGCATACATACCATCCGCAGCCAAATGCTTACATCTTAGTATGTATTTATATTCATAATGTTCCGCACAGAGTGGAAGATATGTGCTGGCTGTGTAATACTGTAGGAGGCCCACTGAGGCCTTCCCATAAGCAGCACAGAGGAGCACTAAGTCTGAGGATGAACAGCTGAACACACAGGAAAGGGGCATAGGACTTCAACACAGAACCTGCACCGTCTGTCATTAGCACCTCAGCTATGGCAGCCCCCTGGGCCATGGCTTAGCGGCTGCTGCCACAAAGGGCAGGGGATGAAAATGGGCAAGGCCTCCTCCCAGGAGATGGCCAAAGGCACCACTGGGGTCTGAGGGTGGAAAGGGTGACAACTGGGGCTCAGGTGCCAGTGATGGGGAAAGAGCGTCACAGCAGGTGGCAAGAGATGGCACTGTGTCAGGAGGGGCGGTGATAAGCAGGCCAAGGAGATTCCGCAGGCCTGAAATTGCCCTGAAGCCAGAGCCGCTGAGCCCGAGGAGAACATGGGGAGGCGCCCCTCTTTGGTACGTGCCCACTCACCATGCGCACACGTTTTAGCCGCTCTTCCAGCTTCTCCTCGGCCTCCCGTGTACGCTGAACGGCCTCCAGGCGATGGATGAGCTCCTCAGCAAACTTCTGCGGCTCCACACGGATCTCCTTTGGCATTCGGTAAGTGCGCTGCAGCAAGACACAGTGGTGAGTACATATACCTTGCAACCGTGGACCTCCACCCTCTCCCACACAGCCTATCACAAATACTTGGTGAGACATGGCACGTGAAATCCTCACCCTATTTTTGTTGTTGTTGTTGTTGTTCTTTTGTTTTTTTGAGACAGGGTCTCACTATGTAGTTGAGACTGACCTGGAACTCACTATGTAGCCCAGGCTGGTCTTGAACGCACAGCGATCCTCCTGCCTCAGCCTCCTGAGTGCTGAGATTACAGGTATGTGCCACCAAGCCCGGCTTACTCATCCTATTTTTAAAGCAGGTGTTTGTTCTTTCCTTTCATCTGGGCACCAGCTTTCTCATCAATCCCTCTTGTCTCCATTCAACACTGACAAAGAGACAGGGACTTTCTTTCCAGCCACTCATGACCACAGCCCTAGAGGCCTGGGCAGGGCACTCCAGGGACAGAGCTGCAGATGGGAGTGTGCAAGGACTACTGAAGACAGGAGAGGCCAATGAGGAGTCAGCACAGCACTGGCCACCAGAGCCCCCTGGCTGGCTCGTGGTCCTATCAGCACAAGCCCATGGCACTTCCAGGGCTCCCAGCCTGCAAGAAACACCACATCACCACTGCATACATATGCATGGGGCCCAGGCGCAGAACACACACAAAATTCAAAGTGCAGGGAAAGCGCCGGAATTCAATTCTGTATAATACGGTATAAATTAGCTAAGCATGGCAGTGCGTGCCTGTAACTGCAGCGTTCAGGAGACTGAGGTAAGAGGATTGCAAGTTGAAGGACTACAGAGTGAGGTCCTGTCTCAAGAAATCAAAAGGAAGCCAGGTGTAGTGGTTCACGCCTGTAATCCCAGCACTCAGGAGGCTGAGGCAGGAGGATTGCTCTGAGTTCGAGACCAGCCTGGGCTACCTAGTGAGGTCCAGGTCAGTTTCAACTACATAGTAAGACCCTGTCTCAAGAACAACAACAACAAAATCAAAAGGGGGAGGAAAAAAAAAAGAATACAAACCCACAATATAATTTATAATAATATACTGTGTAACTTGATCCCAGCACTCAGGAGGCTGAGGCAGGAGGATTGCTCTGAGTTCGAGACCAGCCTGGGCTACCTAGTGAGGTCCAGGTCAGTTTCAACTACATAGTAAGACCCTGTCTCAAGAACAACAACAACAAAATCAAAAGGGGGAGGAAAAAAAAAAGAATACAAACCCACAATATAATTTATAATAATATACTGTGTAACTTGCGGGTGTTACTCTGAAATAACTTCAAACTTCCACCAGTTATAACAATACCAGGCACCTCCATCTTCTCCAGACTGGCCACCCAGGTATGTGCTTCTCTGCCAATTCACTTTATCACACTCACTGACATGCGCATGCGGGCACACACAAACCTGTACACACACTTTTCTGAACCACCTGGAGCATATGTATTTAACAAAATGTCATTGCTCCAATTTTACCACCTGCTTCAGAAATGTTCTTTGGGACAGAATACATTTTAAAATCCAAGCCACTAAGGTCTAGGCCAGGAGGGACACCAGCTCTCTCCTGACTTGGGAGCAGGGAGGTGACCTGAGGACAGGTGGCAGAGGGCTGTTGGCTACGCGTAATCCCAAGTTCAGAGACAGTGGAGTGAGGTCAGGGGGGAAGATGGGAGGTGGGGTGGCTCTGCATTTTACTCCCCCTGCCTTTCCACCAATGGACTCTGGCACAGCCCTGAGTGCACATACACTAGCATCTCGCTTATAAAACCAGAGCAAATCTGTACCTAATCACAAATGGTGTGGGGTAAGACAAGAAAATCAGGTCCAGGCCCTGAGGAAATCTGATGCACTGGGCTGAGAACAAGGAACTTTCTAAACAAAGATCCCAGACAAGGAGAACGCACGCCCGAAGGGAGCCTGCTGAGTCAGCTTCTCAGCCCCCCAGCGTCTACCACCTGCTCGGTGTCTCCAGGGGTAAAGGGATGTGCACCGGCTTCCAGGTAGCAACCAGGGACCCTGCATCTGACTCGAGGTTGGCAAGTTGGGTACAGCCAGGGGACCTGCCCCATGTGTCACCAACCACACCCCAACTAGCAGGTGGCATCTGGGCCAGGGATTTAGCTCAGTGGTTCTGCCTGTCTCACAAAACAGAGGCATCTATACGAGTCTCAAAGGAGCCAGGTGTTCTCGTTTCACAGAACCTCAGACCACTGCCTTGGAAAAAAATGTAGCACTTTCTAGACAGACATGGTAATGCACATCTGTAATCACAGCACTTTGGAGGCTGAGGCAGGAGGATCGCTGTGAATTTGAGGACAATTTGGGCTACATACTGAGTTCAAGGCCAGCCAGAACGGTACAGTGAGACCTTGTCTCAATAAAAAGCAGCATTTTCTATCATTGTGACAAAGGATCTGAAGAAAGAGGGCTACGGAGCCCTACAGAGAATGCCGCGCACCACAGAGTCTGCTCTCTTCTTCACCCTCTGCCTCCCTTGGCTTCATCGTCCCAATTAGTGTGACCTTCCAGAATTCATGACTCTGTACCTTCTTCGATTCCAAAACACGCTCACAACAACCCCCTTTGTGCTATGTTCTGAAGTCTTTTCAGGTCTGTAGCCTATTGCTAAGTTTTTTCAAATATTCTGTTTAACTCTATAGATTTTTTTTAACTTTCAAACAATTTGAAACTTACAGGGAAGCTGAAAAAATGATGCAAACACTGTTTTTCCTGGATCTTCTGAGAGTACGCTGCCTGCCTAACTCCTATCACTCTGCCCTTGCTGTCCCTTACTGCCCATACCCCACCCCCACTCCCACCTCACCCTACCCCAGACCCAGAAGCCATTGTAGCCCCAAGATAACGACCACTTCAGCCAGCACAGACAGGGCGCACAGAGGTCCTGTTTTATCAGTCTGTCCTGACATCCAGGATCCTGTGGCATCTGAGGACCAAAGGCCAGGTATGAACTTCTTACTCAGCTGTGACCTCTTGATCTGCTGGTTCACATACTCTGGGCTGAGAAGACACATCCCTGTACATGGAGGTCACGAAGGGACCCATTACTTACTCTACTCAGGCTCAAATGGCTCCAGACATGAGTGGCAGGCACTCCACAGGTGATCTGCAGCACACGTGTACACAGACGCATTTGCACTGGACACACACGTGCAGATGTGTGTACACTCTCGTGCATGTACACACTGGCACACACATGAAGATGACGTGCATATGTCTGTACATGCAAACAGCTTCTAATATTATCCACTCCAACAAAGAGACACTACTAAGGCTTACTTTGATCCAAGTGTGTGCAAAGGGTTGGCTGGGAGTCACCCCTTCTCAGAAGTACACTGTCATAAACATCACTTTCCTGATTTGGAAATAAAAGATTCTGCCAAGAAGCTAAAAGATTCCTTCTATGAATCACAGTCAGAGGATATGTGAGGCCCCTAGGTACTGGACTTCCCAGCACAGGCGGTGATCAAGTAAGCGGTGGTTCACTCACTCTGGCAGGGCCCCGAGGCGGAAGGCACTACTGCAGTCTTTCCTATCTTCCCCAAATAGCTTTCTGTTCCCAGCCAACATGTCAGAATAAGGAATGCTAACCATCCCACTTACTGACAGAGGGATTCTGCAAACAGGGCGGGTATAGCTCTGACCTATGGACAGCACAAACACCAGGATCAGGAAAAGCCATGGTCGTTTCCTCTGACAGGCAGAGCCGAGGCAGCTTCGAAGTCAAGACGTTCACATGGTGGCAGTCATTGCTCAGCCACAAAAAGGCTAACTTCTCAAATTTCATCTTGAGCAGAGCCCACTCGCTTTCTGATAGATCCCTGGGTTAGGTGGCCATGTTGTCACGGAGCAGCTCAGAGACACTCTCCTATCAAGGGAACAGGGGGACACCACCTCACAGCAGTGCGAAAAGAACACCAAGTAAGGGCATTTCATGGGGGTCGTGGGGACTCCTCCGGACATACTGTGGCCACCGTGCCCTGCTGCTTACCACTCTGACGTACTAACATCACTAAGCTTGCACACTAGGCCTGAGGCAAGCTGAGCTACCAGGAACCCAGGTGGTCAGTGCCACTGAGGCCCAACTCCGCAGGGAGAGCAGGCAGGCACACAGTAGCAGTACTTACAGGAATGTGAGGTAGAGGCACCCGTCCGTTGACCTGGACACTCTCCTGCATTTCCCTACGGTGCTGCTTACGGGTCCTGTACGGGGGGACTCCGTCCCTGTGCAGAAGAAGAAGACACCCATTGCTCTATAGAACACAAGGCAGAGCCCCAGCAGGGCTCCCAACTTGACCATCAGCTGGCAGGTGGTGGCGATAATATCCATAGTGCAGCAGCCACATGCATGCACGCACAGGACAGCCCATGCATACGTGTGAGCACCCTCAGTCACACGTGAGAGCAAAGCCCAGGAACTCAGCCATGGTAAAGTCTCCCACGCCTTCTTTTTCTTTTCCCTTTTTTCCCTTTTCCTTTCCTTTTTTTTTAGTACCGGGGATCGAATTTGGGACCTTGAGCTTTTGAGGCAGGCAGCAGAAGCACTGACCTAAATCCCCAGCACCACACCTTGTATTTCTTAGTATTTCTACAAAGTTCAGCTGTACTTCCTTTACATATTTGGGGTCAGCAAACTACACCTTGATGCTTCATTTTTTGTTTGGGGTTTTTTATTTCTTTTTTGAGATGGGGTCTTACTATGTACTCCAGGCTGGCCCAAACCTCAGTCTTCCTGCCTCAGCCTCCCAAGTGCTAAGGTTACAGACATACGCTACACCTGGCTTTTGAGGCCTATTTTTGAAGGTCTGATAACTAAGAATGATTTTTACATTTTTAAAGGGTGGGGCAGCATATGTGACAGAGTTTGCAGGTGCCTGCAAAGCCTAAAGTATTTTCTGCCAGCCCTTCCTGGAAATATATGCTAATCTGCTGTACTGCCTAGCCCAGGCATGATGGACCTGCCTTGGAGGGGCTGCTAATGAACGGAAAATATATGAAGGCTATGAAAAAGGGTCAGGGGAGACAGGAGAGGGGCAGGAGAAATCCCACTGAAAGTTAAAATGTTTCCAAAGTTCTGCTTCCCTCCAGGTGAACTGGCAGGGCAGTGAGACCCCTGAGGAATGCCAAGTTGGTTATCTTACATGTCAGAATTTAGTTATGAACCACCAAGAAGATAAACATGTAAGGCAAATCATACACAGTCTTTAGATAGTTCCATATCCCAGGATCATAATCGATAAATGTAATGCTTTTATTTCTTCAAGACAGACACCAAATTTAACACCCTGAAAACTGCCTGGCCCTCTCCTACTGCTAAAAAAGCAACTCTGGGGGGCTGGGGATTTAGCTCAGTGATACTGTGCCTGCCTTGGAAACCCAAGGACCCGAGATTGATCCCCGGTGCCCCCCCAAAAAAGCAACTCTGGAAGGCACAGTGGTAGAGAACCCGGCATGACGTGAAGACACCCTAGAGCCCAGGGAGACAGGACGCTGAGGGTGCAAGTACTGTTTCCTTCACTGCCTGTCGCTGACAACATGATGGGTGCGGCTGCCACCTCCATGCTGGATGAGATGAGCTTTTCCATCATCTGGCTACTGTCCTCTACAGGGCAGAGCTGAGAAGGCCTGTTTCTGTTCTCCCTTCCAGCTACTGCCCATGGGGGCAGTGAGAATGTACTGAAGACACACAGAAGCTAAGTCCTGCAAACAGCTCTCTTCTCATCTGGCAGCAGGATGAAACACAACCACCATTCTGAGCCAGGGGAGGACCCTGGGGGCTTTGTACAACTGACATCCAGTGAGGATCCTCCGGCCCCTCTGCTGTACACGAAGGCTGGGTGTTGCTCAGGTAAGGAGAATGGCAGGCAGGCACACACCTCAGAGTTCCATCCAAGAGGAGCAGTGCACTTAGGTCGGGGTAAGGGGCAGAGGCTGTGAGACCTCTCCTCCCGCCGTTCTCAGGCACCTCCAAGGTCAGAGCACCAAGGATCAGAGATAGCAGCATATTCTGACAACAGGCTGCAAGCAACAGAAGCTTAAAATGTCCTTCAGGTGCTGTTAGGTCTGTGCAGGGGTCCGGAAGCCAGTGTCTTCTTTGTTTCTTCTACACTGAGCGCTTTAAAATCCCATGTGCTCCTGGCACATCTTCCACATCTGTGTTCCGCGCGGATACATCAGGGAACACCTGGCTAGCAGTTGTGAGTCTAACCCCAACAGAAGTGATAAAATGTGCCGTTTCATTTTTTCCTCTAATGTCAGGACAAACCACAAAGAACAGAGCATCAAAGAAAAAAATATGCAAGGTATATTCATTTTAGGCCCTCCCTTTGGAAAACATGTCCTTTTTGTGAAGAAAATAAGAAATTGCATTAGAGGTTTTTATGGTTTTTTTGTTTTGTTTTGTTTTGGTACTGGGGATCGAACTCGGGTCCTAGCGCTTGTGAGGCAGGCGGTGAAACCACTGAGCTAAATCCCCGGCCCATGTTTTTGTTGTTGTTGTTGTCACCAGGGATCAAACTCAGGATCTTGCACTTGCCAGGCAGCCATACAGGCCCTGAGCTACATCCCTGGCCCAATTAGAGGTTAATTTTTGTTTGTTTGTTTGTTTTTGAGACAGGGTCTCACTATATAGTTGAGACTGACCTGGAACTCACTATATAGCCCAGGCTGGACTTGAACCCGCAGCGATCCTCCTGCCTCAGCCTCCCGAGTGCTGGGATTACAGGCGTGCGCCACCATGCCCAGCGACTAGAGGTTAATTTTTGAATTGGAAGTTAGTATATGTATGTGCTGCTGAAGTGAGCACAAATCGGAGGTTAACTCTGCCACACTAGGACAAGAAAAACCAGGTGTGGCAGATGCTCAGGGCTGCCAGGTCTGTCACCGCTCAATGCTCTGTATGTGAGAGGCAACACACAGGCCTCCAATGACTGCAAACACAACAGCCTCCACATACAGTCAGAGTAGAGGGAAACAAAGCAGTCCAAGATTTGCCCAGACAGGCTGGCTACATTGAGTCCAAAACAGCTCTGCACATCTGGAACTCCGGTGTTGATTTTTGTTTTTATTTTTGTTTCTGAGATAGGTCTCAAGCGGGCCTTAAAGTCAGCAATCCTGCTTCAGTTTACCTAGTGGTAGGGTTACAAGAATATGCCACCATGCCTGGCCTTTGAACTCTAGTTTTAGAAAAATGTTTAAAGCTAGGCAGATGAGAACAGCAAACCATAAAAATGGTACATAAAGCCAGGTGTGGTGGCGCACGCCTGTAATCTCAGCACTCGGGAGGCTGAGGCAGGAGGATCACTATGTGTTCGAGACCAGCCTGGGCTACATAGTGAGTTTGAGGTCAGTTTTAACCACACAGTGAGACCCTGTCTCAAAAAAAAAAAAAAAAAAAAAAAAAAAAGGTACATAAAGAGGCTTTAAAAATGTACATTCACAAAGCAATGGTTAGGATCTGCCAAGGAGGATGAGCCCACTTCTTTTTTCTTCAGTTTTTCACACAAAGAGATAGCTGGGCAGGAAGATCTCGTGACCTGCTGTCAACATCAAGCATGGCCAGGAGTCCTGGCCCAGAGTCCTTTGTGATCACAAATGTACGGACTCTTTAGCCATGGTTGCCAGATCACTTGCCTTGGCCTTCTCTGACGTAACGACCTCCCTCTCCTGGGCTTTGTTCACTGGACACAAGATTCCACATCTTTTAAGAGCAAATGCAGAACAACACTGATTATGCAGCCATACAGCCTTTCAGGGCCTGTGTCCCCCTCCCAACACCTGGTGAGACAGCTGGTGCCTGCAGCTGCTAACCTGTGCCTATCATTAAACTGAGACTCCAGACTATAAAAATTAAAGAGAAAACTGGAACACAAAGCACTGGGTGGTTCTAGATTTGTCTGAATTTTACCTCTGATTCCCCATCTTTCAAGGGCATCAGGTAACCTTGGAATCCGCGAGTAGCAGTCAGTGCAAATGTCAGTTACAGCTTGGGTTTATTTTTGGTGTTTGGGACTGAACCCTGAGCTTCCACTGAACTACGTCCCCCAGCCTTCAGCTCAGTTTTTAAGAACAAGGCCCACAGTGCAGCTTGTCTGTGCTTTAGGTGCATTAAAGATCAAATTGTGGGGGAACCGGGGAAAGCAGAAGACAAAGCCAGTGGGTCCGCAAAGAATGCAGAGGCACAGGGCCCACCTCTAAGCCACTGTGCTCCATGGAAGGGTGCAACTTACACGCTGCTGTCTGTGAGGGACAGGGTGTCGGCATCGCTGGACAGGCTCTGCTGCTCACTGTCATTGGCGCTGGTGGCTGGGGCTAGGGCATAACCAGAGCTGACGTAGAAAGAATTAGCTGGCTCCCGCCAAGGTCCACACCTGCAAACAAGGAAGGCATGTGAGTGCTAACTTGGCAACACCTTATGGTTTTAATCCACATTTTTTGAGTTATCTGGATTACCTTAATGTACAAATTTAAAATGCAAGGAATTCAGAAAAGGAGTAGAAGGGGCCCATCTCTTCTCTCTCCCAAATCCCTTATAACTCCATCCTTCCCACTGGGGTGGCATCTTTCCACATCTTTCTTCTGCTTTAGGAAGATGTTTAAATATACACATACAGATGTCAAGCTGGGCATGGGGCATAGGCCTGTAATCCCAGCACTCAGGAGGCTGAGGCAGGAGGACTGCTGTTGAGTTCTGGGTCAGCCTGGGCTACCTAGTGAGTTCAAGGCCAGCCTAAACTACACAGAGAGACTCTGTCTCAAAATAACAACAACAACAACAACAACAACAACAACAACAATTAAACATATATAATTATATGAGTTTAGTTTTTATTTAACAGGAAATAGCTCTCTTTTGCCTAAAAAGCATGTTCAGAGATGATCCATCATACTTGGTACTGGCTATCGGGTAACTCTGGTTCCCTGGCTGATCCTCAGGCATCTTAGAGAAATAGTGGTGGTTCCCAGTCAGGGTGCCCAGGACTGACAGGCCCTCAGCTTCTAGTACCTGCACTGCCTGGCACATGGCCACCCTTGCTCTTGGTAACACATGTAAGATCTGCCACAGGCCTCCCCAGCCAAGAGCAGCAGTGTTCACTTGCTTCCTAGAGGGATTCCCTGTTTGTCGGCCAGAATTGTGTCCAACAATTGGCCAAAAAGTGAGACTTTTTTGTGGAATTGGGGTTCAAACTCAGGGAGTGTTCTACCAATATGCTATGACTATAGCCCTTTTCACTGTTTTGTTTGTTTGTTTTTGAGACAGGATCTCACTAAATTACCCAGGCTGGACTCAAACTTGGAATCATCCTGACTCATCTCCCTCAGGGCTGGGATTAAAGATGTGCACCACTGAGCTAAAACCTCTTTTATTTTTTGGTACTGGGGATCGAACTCAGGACCTTGGGTTTGCAAGGCAGGCAGTGGCATCACTGAGCTAAATCCCCAGGACCGAATAAAACCTCTTTTTGATTTGTATTTCCCTGACTAACAGCTAGGTTAGGGGTATTTATATTTCTTTTATCTGTTCATAGAATTTGTCCATTGTCTCCTGGGTGACTTATGAGTTCCCTTTTTTTGTTGTTGTTTTTTGAGACAGGGTCTCACTATGTAGTTGAGACTGACCTAGAACTCACTAGTAGCCCAGGCTGGTCTCGAACTCACAGCTATCCTCCTGCCTCAGCCTCCGGAGTGCTGGGATTACAGGAGTGCACCACCATGCCCAGCTTTGTTTTGTTTCAGCCGGCCTTGAACTCACTATGTAGCCCAGACTGGCTTTGAACTCAGGCTGATCTTCCTGTCTCAGCCTCCCAAATGCTGGGATTACAGGTGTGCACCACACCTGGCTGAGCTTCCTAATGATTTACAGAAAGTTTAAAATATCCTTACTATTAATCTCTGGTTATATAGATAAAAAAATAATTTCTTGAAAAAAAACTTCTCCCTAAATATTTTTTTTTCTTTTCTTTTTTTTTGTAGTACTGGGGAATGGAAGCCCTCTACCACTGTCAGTTTTCTAACTTGTTTATACTGATTTTGCTCATATAAAAGTTTTCATTTTTATGAAATCAGATTTTCCAGTATTTTCTTTTATAGCTTTTTTGTACATGAATAGGCTTACCTTTTTCTAAATTACAAATATATTCTTCTAATTTTTCTTGATAGGCAAAATTATTTTAAAAATTTTTCTTGAGACAAGGTCTTGTCATGTGGTTCAGGCTAGCCTCAAACTTGTGGAGATCCTCCTGCCTCAGCCTCCTAGTGCTGGGATTACAGGTGTGTTCCACCATATCCAACTATAATCAATAATTTGGCACACGCCCATAATCCCAACACTCGGGAGGCTAAGGCAGGAGGATCACTGTGAGTTCAAGACCAGCCTGGGCTACATAAGTGAGTTCCAGGTCAGTCTCAACTACATAGTGAGACCCTGTCTCAAAAACCCAAAATTAAAAAAAATTTTTTTTTAAATGCCAGTTGTGTGAGTGTGTAGTACTGGGGATAGAACCCAGGGCCTCACGCATGCTAGGTAAGCATTCTACCACCGAGCTACATTCCCAGCCATATTTTATTTTATTTTGAGGCAGAGTCACACACTACTTTGCCCAGGCTGACTTGGAACTTGTACTCTTGTTTTGTTTTTTGATACCGGGGATCGAACTTGGGCAAGCAACGGAACCACTGAGCCAAATCCCCGGCCCTAGAACTTGTGATTTTTTTACCAACCTCCCAAGTATGTGGGATTGCAGGTGTGAGCCCCTGCATCTGGTCTCAAGGCTACTTTCAGTCACATCTTGACCTCACTCTTATACATGAATCTACCTGTGGACTGCCTGGATTCACCCTCTGGCTGCCTCCTGCACCTCTGCATGGTATTCTGACCAGCTCTAGCCTTTCTAAATATGGCCCTAAAAACACTAGTTGTTGCAACAAAGGTGGCTCAGCAGAGCCTGGAGCAATGGGCCCCATGTGAATACTCATGTTCTGAGTAGACAGAACTTTCTGGAAAGTCCAAATTTCACCAACTCAGAAAGGCCCTTCAACAAGACAGGGGACCAGGCATCTTCAAATCATGGGCCCTTGTCACCTACGATATGTGGGCTGGGAGCTGAGCCAGGCGATGGGCAGGAAGAGAGGCTCTGATGTGGGTCCTTGAGGGCATGGTCTAGGCCAGGGCCTCTTGCACCCTGGAGGGCCAGCATCTGAAACTGCAGACACCAGAGCAGCATTTTTGTAAGATCACGATACACCTATTCCATCAGTAGAAGGACTTGGGAAGACGGCAGCAGTGGACACTGAGGCCACCTTATAACCCAGCTCCTGAGGCAGGCATTCAGGACCTTTGTCACCACAGCAGAAAACATGATCAGCAAGCATAAGTCCAAGCTGGCACCACTTGGCAAGTTTCTCTAGACCACCCACTGCAGCTTGAGGTCACTTGCGTTAGGCCACAAAGTGTCATGGATAGGAAAGGTAGGAAGGACACAGTACCCTCAGGCCTGGGAACTGCATCACCAGCCAAGAGGCTGACAGTGAGTGACTGGCTGGGTTTTCAGGAAACCAGATGTGACAGAACGAGGCTGGCCTACAATCATATATTTTCTTTTAACTATCATGAAACTGTTTCCAAATGGATGTTATTTCTTCTGTATAAAATTACAGCCACAGCTACTTATAAACCAACAATGTCATTACTAAAACAATCATTGAAGTAAAATTCAGATCTCAGATTAAGTGCTAAACTATATTTAAATTTGGCTGTTACTATTAAAAATATTAAAGCCAGGCGTGGTGATGCATGCCTGTAAAACCAGCATTCAGGAGGCTGAGGCAGGAGGATCGCTGTGCATTTGAGACCAGCCTGGACTACATAGTGAGTTCCAACTCAGTCTGAACTACATAGTGAGACCCTGTCTCAAAAAACCAAACAAACAAACAACAACAAAAAGTTAAATTTTAGGGGCTAGGGATTTAGCTCAGTGGCACCATGCCTGCCTTGCAAGTGCAAGGTCATGAGTTCGATCCCTGGTACCATTAATTAATTAATTTTAGCCTAGAATAGTGGTACATTCTTATAATCCTCATTACCAAGAAGGCTGAAGCAGGAGGATCACAAGTTTGAGGCTAGCCTGGACAATTTAGCAAGATCCATCTCAGGGGGCTGGGGATTTAGCTCAGTGGTTCCACCACCTGCCCTGCAAGCGCAAGGACCAGAGTTTGATCCTGGGTACCAAAAAAAAAAAAAAAAAAAAAAAAAAAAAAATCCTATCTCAAACACCAAAAAAGGCCTAACAGCTGGGCATGGTGGTGCATACCTGTAATCTCAGCATTCTGAGTGGCTAAGGCAGAATTGCAGTTCAAGCCCAACCCAGGTGACTTAACAACTTAGTGAGACCCTGTCTTAAAATAAAAAATAAAAGACAGCTAGAGGTGTAGCTCAGTGTGAAGGCCCTGGGTTCAATCCATAGTACTGAAAAAAATAAAAATATTTAAAAATTTTTTAAACTAAAAATTAAAATTAAAAAAGGCCGGAGATGTAGCTCAGTGGTAGTGAGAGGAAACCACCTCTCCTTATGGAACTAGGCAACTATGGTTTAACTTGTTATTGGGCAACTATTGGTCAACTGGGTAACTATGCTCTTTGTGGAACACACCTAAGTAACCATCACAACTTGTGCAATCTGTCACCAAAGGAGCTTAATGGACTCAAAGTTTTGCCAGAACTCCTGTTCTTCCTCCCTCCTGCTGCTCTGCTTTGTGTAAATCCTGCTTGCTATATACCCAGGAAAGTCCAATGAAATTAAGCCTCATAGACGTAAAAAGAGTAAAGAAGACCAAACTTTTTTTCTTTTGGTATCAGGGATCGAACTTGAGTCCTTGCACTTGTGAGGCACGCAGTAGAACCACTGAGCTAAATCCCTGGCCCAAGAAGACCAAACTTCTACCTGGTGTTTAGGAGGTGGCAAGAGTCCCTTTTGAGCCACAGGCATTAAGTTGCTTTTGCTCCTAACTCTGTGTTGGAGTAGTCTGTCTGGGAATCCCCTGCAGTTTTATGCTAGAGTAGAACACTTGGCTAGTATTCATGAGACACTCAGTTTAATCCCCAGTTCCAAAAATTTTTTTAAAAATTAAACTTTGGTAACTTTCCATAAATTATTATTTGGTCAATACATACACAAAAAAATAAAAGTGAGAAAGTCCCATCAGACTTTGAACATGGAAAATAAGAGTAGGCTTGCACAAAGCATGGGGAATTTAAATAATAAAATGCAATTTAAAAGGAAAAAAAGCCCACCAGAGAACACAAAGCCAAAGTGAGTGCTGCCTTGGGGCTCCATGTTGTTCATACCCCTGGCCATCCACCCCCAGGGCCAAC